GTTAAGAGAATTTGTTATTTAATATGAATGATTGAGTAACGTTCCTTCAATATCATTTATTGCTCGTGATTGCTCATTAAAGCAAAGGCATTACAACTTTCTCTTAAAAATTATACTATAAAAAGAGGAAGTCATCAAACATCTGTAGGGCCAGTTCCACGAAAAACACTACTGGAATATACTTTGTTTTAATTTGCTTTCTGATTATATATTCAAAATTTCTTTCTTTATACACTTTTTCCGATTATCATAACCACAGTTCTTCTAAGATTAAAATTTTGACCTGAAATTAATTTTTGGTTACAATATTGGTTCCGTTACGAAATCTGATAATCAAAGCATATCTCAATCTAATTTTTTTGATTGCATCAAATCATGACAACAACAATGACCAACACTCAAGGAAACCCAAAATTCAGACAAATCCAATAGACTTCAGGGAGATTCCCCACAAGGTTCTTTCTGACGCACGAGGTTGGCTCTCACGAACTAGGTCCCCGTGAAGGCACTCCCTGATGGATCTTACAACAGATGTCAGGCCTTCAATTCGAAAAATGTTGAAACCAATGGGGAAGAATGAGGCTCTGCAAAAGCTTTTTGGCTCTCAAAGTCAAAATAACGCTCTTTCAAGCTTTTGTTCGCCATACCTGTATTTGGCATTTAATGCTGAATTTGGACTCTTTTTCGCTATCAGATTCATGTCTCCAATTTCTTCTGATCTTCGAACTTTAAATGACTCGAACAGGTACGAGTCTCGTTTCATTTGAATAATAGTTCGTGCCTTTAAGTATCTTCTCTCCCGCGTCTGTTGTTGCTCGTGTCTTCTAACTGATTACCACGTTTTGACTATTTGACCGGTCCACGTGTCATGACACGTCACCTTCAATATTTAAATTCAGTTTTTTCCCGATACAAATTAACTATGAGTCGATTAAAGTACAAACTCAACGACACTACTATAGCAATTATGACCCCTAGAAAACAACTGAATTTCCCTAGGACACGACTCAAAGATGTGAGCAAGCATTAGAGGGTACAAAGAGAACAAAAAGACTAATGAACAAATTTGGGATCAAATTTATTGAGAAGTACCAAAATTCCCTTTACCATATCAGGGAACTTGGGACATATAAGAAGAGGGAACATTTCTGAGGATTATTGAAGTACCAAAAAAACTGTAGTTTACACAATGTTTTACAGGTTTAAATAGGTATTCATCTGAAAATAGCTTCATCAGGAGAACCAGGCAAACCTTTTAGAACGTCTCTTAAGGCATAATAATAACCTTCACATTTGTGGTCAGAAATAATGTTGCTTGATAGAAGTATTCTCTGAAAATGTTCACCTGGGCGTCTCTTCAAAAGAGTGAAATATTCGCCACTGTCTCCATTGATTCTAGCATCTGCGTTCCTCTTTAGATAATAGAGACTTCCCGGCACAAACAACTCATCAGCTACTTTGCTACCAGCCTCTTCCCGTCTAACAAGAGAAGTCGCATTGCCCGGTGGCTTGGAGGTAGGCTGAACTCCAGAATTATCTGAATACGTAGAGGAGAATTGAAAGGATATGTAATTAACATAATTGAAAACAGACACAACACAACACATCAGCTGCCCCCNTCCGCCCCCCTACCCCCCCCCCCCCCCACCCCCCCCAAAAAAACAACTTTTATTCCAGACCCAGAAAAGTAAATAAATGAAAACGAAAAAATGCAAATGTCACAGAACATTTGATCAATCGACGTCTCTCCCATACCAGAGTGCTTTGCATTGCCTGGCAATTTAGTATAATCAGCAAGTTTCCAAGCAACATCTTGCACAGAAGACACAACCTGCTTCGCATTTGTGAACAAATCTATGACACCTCTCCAGTCTTCCTTCTGGAGAACACTAACCCTGTCCAATAAACAACAGGAAAGACAAAGATTAGCATGGATCTTATCATTTATAGACCTTCCACCCACCTCCTCAGCTGCCAACAACAAAACCACCCAAACCCGAAGGTAGTAAAAGATGGAAATAAGGAAAGTGACATACGACCATCGTAACTGTCTCCTCAAAGTAGTGCTTTTTATTCTTGTTTAAGAGGTAAAAGTCACATTATCACCCTGCATGTATAAGAACTTATGGATTACCCTTCCTAGTGTTGCTAAAATAGGTTTGCAACCTCTTGCTAAAGGAAACCAGTAGAGCTACCCCTTACCCTTAATTTGACTTTGTATAATTGATTTTCTTATGCCAAATAACTATATTTTGTGTTTCCTTCAATCCTTTTAACTAAAACCAATACTGTAAATTAAAGTCCCAGTGGACTTGGATGAATTCAAGTCACCATGGGTCAATAAATATCTAAAACAATAAAGGTAAAAGCTCCAGAGTGGATATTACAAATCCTTTTAGCAAATCTGAGCTTGTAAAAAGAGAGAGAAAAGAGAGGGAAAAGAGGAAATAGACTACTACATGCAAATGGCCCACACCTTTCTCTTCTAGCCCCCCACACCTCCAAAAAGATAAGGCACTAATGCATTGACATAAATTTTAATGTTGAAAACTTTAACATTAAAAAAAAAATAATTACTGTTAAATGTTGAAAACCTAAAATAAACAAATAAAAACATCTCCTCTGATAACTTTGAATTTTGAGATCAGTTAGTTCAAACAATTCAACATGGTATCAAAGTGGATAAAAGTTCTGGGTTCAAGTCTCAGCGCCACCCGTCAACAAATATGGTTGACGTGCTTGGACCAGGAAAAAGATTTAAGTCCGGCATGTGAGAAACGGGTCGAAGACCTAAAACAAATAAAAAGAAATATCCTCTTTCTTGCAACTTAATCTTTTAAATTAGAGCATAGACATATAACTGAGAAATCCCCTGTGAGTTAGCTAGCTCAATCCCAATTGTGCTCACAGGTTTGGAACCCAGGATAATATTGGCCCACCCCTCTACCCTGATCCCACTTAAACACCAAGTTTCAGCCACTGGTAGGGTTCAAACTTGTGACGTGCGCCTAACCACAGTTCAGGCGTTGCATGCTTACTATTGAACCAGAGCCCAGAGGGCTAAGCTCTCTCATCTATTTAGTGTAAATAATGTCTAAAGGATGACTTAATGCTACAAACAAGAACATCATCTAGCCAAATTAGCAATTAAAAATCCTATGAACATAAAAGCATGAATGAACTAGGTTCCTTTTACTCTAATAGTCACGATAAAGTAACCCAATTTCCTTTTTCTTTCGTCCCAGCAAATTTTACCTCTTCTCTTAAATGGACTGTTTCTCTTTACTAGAATGTGAGCTAATAACCTTATATCTTTTGAACTTAACCATATATATTTGATAAAGGAACGAATTTATTGTTGTAGGAAACCAGCTCATATATAAGCAGTTCTATACAAAAAAAGTAGAGAACATACACAACATGGTTCTCTAAGAATGATATCCAATCCCTTTATACTAACAGAAACCTAGTGGGTGCTCCAAAAGTCAACTAGAAATACCTGTATAAGTTCATCTCCATCCCAATAATAGCTCTTATTAACTCGAAAATGGACATGCGTTTCTTATAATTGTTTTTTTCTAGTGAAAACAAGGTCAGGTCCATCAATTCTTCTTGACTTCGTAGTTTTGCCAGTAGGAGTGTTGAAAGCTGGAGAGAGAGAGGGAGAGAGAGAGATGACTAAAGTACGGCAGATGGACTATGTTATCTATATCCAGACAGAGCAATAGCTCAACCAGGCAAAGGGGAGAGAAATCGTGCCGGAGTGGGACCCATCAAGATCTTGTTTGGATATTGATCTTATCATGTGTCACTAACGTCACTGATCATATCTTTACACCTTGGGTGCTTAAAGATATGCCTAATAGTAAGCAGTCTATGTGGATCCTAAACTATGACGCAAAAATACAAAGCTTTACACCAATAAGGCAGAGAAGCCCTGATATAGCCATGAACTTTTCGCGGACATGGCATCATCCTTGGCCCAGTTAACCAAATCAGACTAAACGACATAGAGTTGGCTTTTTGAGTTGTAAAGTACTGCGCACGTAGCAGGAAACTATAGAATATTTCATCATTTGGGTATTTCATGTAAGTATCAACCAGCTACTTTTGCCAGTGACAGCCTACAAAATTGACTGACTCATTCAAGCTGGAGATCTAGTATGATCCAGGCATCATAGCTTACCTTACCAAAAAAAAAAAAAAGTAGAGTCCAGGCATCAGGAATGGTAGAAAGAAACTATAGATATTCCATCTAAATTCTTATGCACAGTAATTTCGTAAGGGAAAAAGGAAAGGAAAAAGACAACTTGGTTAGTTTTGTAGATGTTGTCACTAATGTTGTAGATGTAGTCTTTATATCATTCACTTGAAAAACCAGTCACTGTACGAGTCGGGAATTGTACAAATAAGATAGTTGGTCCTTGCTTTAACTATTGATAGACAGTCGCTAAAGGAAAGAGAAAACCCATCTCTATACAAGCAGGAGAACAAAAATAGAAAAGAAAATGCATGATAAGCAAGAAGCACAGCAATATGCAAACGGAGGCCTAAAGATGCAGCTTCGTGTATCTTCAAAGCAATGATTAAGAAGATCCTAGGACCATTTAACGATACATTTGCTTACCAGTTAGTTTGAAGAATTTCATTCCTAAGTCTCGTGAGAGAGGTGACACTAAGCCTTGGAATTATATCACCCTGCATTTGTAAAACATGAAAAGAATCAATCAAATGTTAACAATAGGTTCTACAGATTCTGCTCCAGTGCTCCATAGTCACATTTATTATGAAAAAGGAGAAGGGTCAAATGTGCCCCTGAATGATACGAAATGGTCTAGATATTCCCTCAGTTAATAGTTGGGGTCAATAATGTCTTGCCGTTAACAAAGTGGCTCATATTTACCCTTATTGACTAAAGGGAAACAAATAGAGACTAGTTATCTCTAATCCAACTAATTAGCACTATCAATTGCCATATTTGCGGTTTTAATCCAACCCTTATAACACCCCCACCTCTTACCGGATCCGGGATCCCTTACCCCATTTCCCCCCTTTTCGGCAACCTCCTCACCCAACCCCCATGTCGGTCATTCTTATTCCCTTTCCTCTCTAACTTGAAGCCTATATGCACAACCTATATGTATGTATGTATGTATGTAATGTATGTGTATATACTTACACTTCAATTTCTCAAAAAGAAAATGTTTCTAAAATTATTTCTTACATTTTAATATAAGATCGTTTTCTTGAAGGTGGGACAGAGAAGATGGTAACTTGAAGGTGCGAACAATTTGCTGGATTTTCAGTCAAGTTATGGTTTCTAATAAAGGAATTCAGATTTTTTGGACAGAATTGAATGCTGAAATTCGGACTTTGGGGCATTCGTCGTTGGAGATGATTACACAGAAGAGCTTCAAAATGGTAATGCCGAGTTTGACACGGTACTGAGTTTGAAAATGGTAATGCCGAGTTTGACACGGTACTGAGGTTGAAATGGTAATGCCTACCCTTTGCATCGGCTTGGTGATGTTGCCCCTGGCATAATTCTGTTGAATAGATACGGTATTCAGAGAATTTAGCCGTCAAAGGTAACCGAAGAGCTGCAGTGTCACGGGGTACATAGATGTTGCCCATTGCAGGTGAGGCTTAGTCAAAATCTATGCCAAAACAGAGGAGCAATCCAGTGCGCGCTTCACGGCGACAAATAGCGAGGACGTCACAGGGGTGTGTTCAGGTACTTCATTCTAGATTCAGTGACTCGGCTCTTGTCTTCTTTATAATTGGAAGAAGAACAGCAAAACTAGTGATAAAGAATCAATTTCAGACCCTTAGTTTAACCCACATAGAGAAACGCTTAGCTTGAAAAATGCCAAATGCGAAATTGGAGGTGACCCATCAACTGGTGGTGACTCATTGAAGTGTTTGGGTGGAGTGATGAAGAGATGAGGGCTTGGGTGTCGGAAGGTGGTTGCTGCAAGTTTCTGAGTAGCTAATGGTGGGCTGGTTAGGTGGTTGTAGAAGCATGGTGATTTTTAATGGAGAAGGACAGCGGCTGGGTGTGGTTTATTGCAATGCGGTGGTGGTTAAATTTAGTGCTTTTTTGGGAGGAGAAAGCCGACGCAAAAATGCAGAGAACGGTTCAAAAAGGTGAATGGTTAGAGCTTTTTTAAAGTGGTAATGGAGAGATGGAAAATGACGATGGCGATTTCTGCTGACTGCCAGCGTCACTTGACGAAGGTAGTGCTAGAAAAATGGAAGAAGATGGTTTTATTTTTTAGCCACGTGATGAACACGTGGCCTTCTCCTATTTTAATGATATTAATCAATGGCTAAATTCTAATTAGTTTCTAAGGAAGGGCCGTCTATAAAAAAAGGTTAAACTATAAGCCATAATAGCAAGGACATCATTGACCCCAGCTATTATGGAGGGCATATCTAGACCTTTTCGTCTAGTTAAGGGGAAATTTTGAACCTTATCCCTTATGAAAATATCTTTATCCAAAAACCAACAGAGTTATCGGTTACTGACCTGCATAACTGCCGTTGTGACATATTCAGAGCAATTTTCAGCAAGTTCTTTAGAAACACATGGGGGAGTACCATATCCGATCGCTGATACAATATCAGGGCTAAACCCAAGCTCTTGGAATGACCTTTGACGAAGCATGATAGCAAGCAATGAAGCTGTTGCACCTCCAAGGGAATGACCCACCAGCCTTAACCTAAATCCCTGTATATGAATAAGTCTCACTGAATGGGAATATTTTATATTTATATACACATGGGAACTAAACCTGAAACTTTCTAGGAAAACAAACAGCAAAATGATAAGAGGTCCACCTTGTGTTTCTTCAGGCAGTTTCTTATGGTGTCCAGCTCGTAATTAAGGAACCAACGAGCAGCCTCAGCAGTTCCAAAGTGTGTAGAGTAACCCTCAAATGTGATTTCTTCATCACTTGAAGAAATAATGTCAGTTATAAGATCATACACAGTATGAGTTCCACGAATTACAAGAATCACAAGTTTCTTCCGATGGTCAATTCCCATATAATATCCAGGCCTCAACACATCGGAACTTTTTATGAATTTGATAACATTGCTTTCTCGAAGCATAGTATTCCTAGCAATAGCAGCAGGGTTGGCTTTATAAGACCCCTTAGCCAGCTCGAGGTGGTAGATGAGATCTTGCACCTAACCAAAAAGGCTCATCTTCATTAGAGTTTTAAATTGATGACAGACAGGAAAATTGACATTAACAAAGGCAAAACTAGACAGAATACCAAACACTTTTACTACAAAGGTTCTGGTAATTAGTGATTACTATCAGCTCAGATGATATTTCTTCACCCTTAACATCTTCAACAGCACTGGTTGATGCCTGCTGGAGATATATGAGATATAAGCCTATGGTAAGATCACTTAGACTCCAATCCTGGAGTCCCAATTTACTACGTTGAATGCTGGCAAATATCTCTGCAAGAGACCTATTAGTTGGTGGAAGTTTGTCTCCGATTACATTTCCTGCAACGGAAATACAGAATCAACTTTCAGTAGGAAACAAAAGGATTGACTCCTAAACCTGAGATTGATTTTAAATTTCTCAGGAGTCAAAATTTATCCTGACCTTTTAATGTATTTTCGTGGAATAACAAGTTGATTATAAAGACTTAAAACCCTTTTACAGAATCAGCAACTGTAGCCACTAACCAGAGCTAATTTTGGTAGGATATAAAAGGATTGACTTCCCAAACCTGAGATTGATTTTGAATTTCCTAAGTCTCCAATTAATCCTGAACCTTTAAAGTCCTTTGATGGAATAACAAGTTGATTGTAACAACTTAAAACTCCTTTTCCTTTACTTTTCCTCTCTAAATCACCAATATACTGAACTCTTTTAAATGGTTTTCGAAACCTTTAAATAAGATTTAAATTTCACGACATTGTGACTAGTAGATTCACGCCATGTATTTGAAGCCAGCTATTGCAATTGTACAAATCCAATTATCACCCCAATCTTTATAATGTCTGATAATATAAAAGAATATTATATTTAGCGGTTAGAAGTCATATTAAAAGTGAAAATTAAGGAGTATAAAGTCAAAACTAAAACATGGGCAGCCACAAATAAACTGAGGTACAGTCTAATGTTCATTTGACATGCCAAGAGCAATGTGCTTATTTTTTTTGTTGATAAGGTGAAGATTTTATTAAAAACAGTATCAAGCTGATACTGTAAAAATACAAAGATACTGCTTGTTGAGTCACCCTTCTACAAGATAACCAGTATCAAACTCCTGAAGGTTCCAAAATACTGGAGCATTCATAGAGAAAAATACCTGTTGGCAGAACCGATCTACATAGTTGAACAGCAGGTTCAAGAGCCTTAGAGAGCCAAGCAAGTTCTAACTTCCACTTATTACTATTTAAATCATCATTGACAACATTGAAACTACTTTGCCGAGGACCATGGCCTATGCTATTTTCTTCAGGTTTCTCTGTCACTTGGTAGTTTTCCTTCCCCTCTTTGAAGCCACTATAGGACGCCTTCTCAGAATTGGACCAATGTGACTGACACCGGCTAAGAATATTGTACACAAACTTCTGACAGAACTCCTGTTTCCTTGAGATAATAATCCTCAAATCTGCCAGATCAGAATCAAAATTAGGTACCATATTAACAAGTAAAAACATTATAATTTCAGTAGTCTATTTATCTAGCACGCACACAAACCATATCTGCTTTCTATGAATCCACTTTCCCCATCAGGTAATCCCGATTCAGATCAATGTTTCATAAATAGAATACCCGTCATACAAGAAAGGGCAGCCGGGTGCACGAAACATCCCGTCACACAGGGTTCAAGGAGCACCCCAGGGAGTGTGATGTAGGCAGCCTACGCTGACGCAAGCTTCACATTCCACGGCTCAAACCCGTGACCTCCAGGTCACACTAAAACAATTTTACCGTGCTCCAAGGCTCCCGTTCAGTACCCCTCATACAAGAATGCGCGAATACTTTATCAATTAATCAACTACACATTGGTTCCAGATTAGTAAAGGTCGTTCCACTATATGAAAATTTTACATCAATTCTACTCTATTAAACAAAAATGGATGATACTCTACAATGATATCTGCTACGCCTCAATCTCAAACTAGTTGGATTGTCTAAATTGATTAACACTCTATCCTAGAATGACAAAACTATGCTGCTGACAACAAACATTTTTCTTTACAATTATCTCAACTCTTAGATTCTTATTACTAGCTCCAACTAACACATGGAATTATTATAAATCTTTAATACTCAGTCTCAAAGTTTCATCACTATCCAATTTGCTAATGTCATTATAAATCATTACTAATAAATATATTTCCAGAAAATATTTTTCACTCAAAAAGGAAAAATTGCCGAAGAAAAAACTTCAGAACCTGTGTTATTAAATAAACGCTTCGTGGATTTATAAGCCATCATTTTTGATACACGAACATATACACCTTCATGCATATGAACCCCAAAGTTTGGAACATAGCGGGGTTTGTCAAAAGGCGGTGGCCGATGGAGCTCCGATGCGGCGGCGTGTCGGTGTATTCCGTCTAGGCGGTTAAAGTGTCAAAAATGGTACTAAGAAATTACGACTAGTTAATAAGGGCGATATGGTCAGAAAATTTCAGCACCTAAGTTGCGGGCCCGAATCAAATCCATTAACATTCAAATATTGGGCTAAACAGGCCCACTAGCCCGATCCTCATTCTGTCTATAGGAAATAGCTTCAGAAAATTATCCCAAATAACCGCTTCAACTAATAAAAATATGTTATGAACAATAAAAGAAGAAGAATATTGCAGAGAAAAGTAGAGAGAGAATTCTTATTGATTTGGGATGAATTACAATAGAATAGAACCCTCTATTTATAGGGAGAGGGTGGCTTAGCCACCAAGCAATGAACCCTAGAATCTCTCTAAATATAGACATTCACCATAAATATAATTGTATTTATAACAAAATAATATATATGTATATAAGCAACTAGTCTTAGGGTACACGCTTGCGCGTCTATCCTATATTCATGAATATACGATTTTAAAAAAAATCTCTCTCTATCTTTCTTATATATATATACTACATAATGTGTCTGGGTTGTAAAATAAAAATAAAATGAAAAAGTAATATGTCATCACATAAGTCCTCGAATGCCTTATTTATTATTTTCTCGTTTGCCTCCGCCAATATTGAGTTAATATTTTACAAGAAATAATATATAAAAAATATAGGGAGTTGTCATTCTTTATAATGAATTGATGATATAATAATTTTTATTGGAATTTTCAACCAAAGTAGAAGACAATATATCTTGATATTCTCGATCATTCTTTGATCCAAGAAAAATAATTAAAACGTGTTCAACTTAGTTCAGTGATATTCAATTTTCACGATTGTTATTAGATCTTGATAAATAAGGAATTGAATTTAAACTTTTGATTTTCTTCTATGGATATGAATTTGGTTAAAGATTATTTTACGCAATTCAGATAACAAAATAATTTATATAAGTTAAAATTTTATTCGATTTTGAATTCCTAAATATTAGAACTTCCTCCGAATAATTCAAATAGATAAAGATTAATAGCAAAATGTTAGTTAATTTTAAGGTTTTAATGTTAGAAATATAATTTTATGATAATAATTATATCTTACATAAAATATATTTTACATGTTATCCGTCATTAGTGATTAAATAATTTTTATTAGAAATAACAAATTTATAAGTCAGCTTAAACTCTTTGTGCACATGTAAAAAATTTGGATTAACACTAATCATATGATCCAAAAATATAATAGACAAAAATGAATTTTGAAAACAGCTAATGATCCCTACGTGTTCAATCCTACAAATTTAAAACGAAGACAAAAACTTGCAAAAAACTTTGTTACAATTCTAGATGTGTTTAAAACTTGTAAACATGAAAAAGTCAAACTTGAGGAAAATAATTACACGATTTAAATAAGGAAAAAATATTTATAAGTAAATTTTACTCAATTTAGATTCCTAAATATTAGGAGTTTTTAAATAGTTTAAATAAAAAATTATTTAATAAAAATTTAGCCTATTTTAAAGTTATAAATATTAGGTAAATAATTAGATTACAATTACAATTTTGCCCAATATAAAGTCTATTTTTAAAGGGTAAAGATATTTCGCTAAAGTCCTTTGCGCTTTTAATATAGTATAGATTGATACAAATAAATAAATAACATAGAAGTACTTTATCAAGATTTTTTCAAACAAAAAAAAATTAAAAATTTGGATCTTTTGAACTTACAGGAATGAAAAGGTTGGCCTTATAGCTCATAATTAAGATAATTGATAAGCGATATATAAAATCCAAAGATGACTAATCTTAATATTTTACAATAAATAATTAAATATATAAATGATATAGGAAATTATCATTTGTTCGAGTAACGAAGCAAGCTTCAACCTATAGTAAACCTTATGTTGTCTTTTTCTCAAAAAAGGAAATATTTGGTTTTGATTCTTAATGCTTGTGGTATACGTGAGTCTTAATTGCTAAATATTAGGACTAATTAAGTATAAGTTTAAATACAGAAAGATTTAATGTGCAAAGTTTTAATTTATTGTTAAGTGCTAAAATTTAGGAAAATAATAAAATTACTATTTTGTCTTGTATAAAGTTAATTTTTTTTAAAGGATAAAAGAGGCGAACGACATTTTGCTAAGGGCCTTCGTGCTTTTAATATAACTAGTATTAGTGTACGCGCTTTGCGCGTGTATCTTAGATCGATAAATATAAAATCTAAAGAAATCATGTAATATATATATTGACATGCAATCGGCGGGTGTCATTTCTAAAGTATTTCTAGAGCTTCATGATGTGTTAAAGATCATATAATATTAGTTATAGAAACTTTATATATATATATATATATATATATATATATATATATATATATATATTTTGTAAGTAAATTTTATAATAGAAATAGTGTTTGATATATAAGTAGTAAAGGACAAACTCTATATTCACAGAGTCAAATTAACATAATTTCCCAAGAGAACGAAAGTCACAATAATAAGGCAATATTACTTCAAATATGACCGCTTTCATTTAGCCATAAGAGAAAATAACAATAAAATTTAAGAATAATTTACATAATCTTGTGATGGCTGAAGATTTTATGTACTAAAAATGACATGAAAATCAACAATAAAAATTAAGAATAAATAGTTGAAACATCTATTAGACATTGTGATAAATAATTTGAGACAGATGGAGTAGAAATTAATTCTTCATATTAATTGTATATTGGCTTATTTAAACTCTAATTCCCCATCTAACTTTACTTTTAGAATAATCAATAGTACTGGATAAAAAAGAATAAATGGAAGAACCAATAATAGTATTTCTTTTCTTCAAATTAAAAAGTAATAGCAATTCTTCATTTTTTTTTACTTTAATGTCTTGAATACAAATATAATGTTTAGTGGTTAGATATTAAAACATTGAAACTTGGAATTACTAATACGTAGTTTGTCACGACCCGGATTTCCCACCATCGGGATCGTGATGGCGCCTACTCGTGGTAGCTAGGCAAACCAACTTATTTACCTTTCATTAATAAATAAATCTGTTAACAATCTATAGCATCAATAAGAAATATGGAATTTAATAATAATAATAGCGGAA